AGGTCAAACGAGCTACGGGACTGGAGGGTCCCGCTGAGACACATTGACCGGAGGGTCATATCGAGTTATAGCCTCGAGTGGCTTATGTGTAGTATGTGGTATTTTGGGGAACTCACTAAGCATTTATGCTTACCGTGTTATGTGATATGTGTTTCAGGTACCAGCAAGGATCGCAGGAAGGCGCCAGCATGATTTGTACACACTGGCAGAGGATTATGTTTTGAGATTCTGGGATATGTTTTATTGTGATGACATTGATACATGAGATTTTTAAGAATATTATATGAGTTTTATTATGTTTGAAAATGAAATATTGTTTTAAAATTTACGTCGTTACAAGTTGGTATCAGAGCCTTGGTTTGAGGGATTCAGATGCACCTTCGGGCGTATCTGAACTCAAACTGAGGATTTGAGAAAAATTTTCATAAAAGAAACAATTTTTCTAAAAGAGTAAAAGATTTTTGAGAAAAGCAGAACGGAGCAGTGTGTACGATCAGCCAGCGCCCGAACGGTGATTTCCCAAAATACCCTTACATTATGTGTTATGAGATATTATGTGATATGCTATGCATGCTAGAGTAGGCTAGGTATTCATATCTAGGACTAGAATGGCCTGATTTGTGATGCCTTAGCCTAGGAGATTACTGCTACTATGAGTTACTTCGAGAGTGAGTAGGTAGCAGCGAGGAGCTTATAAGTGGTTTACTGGAGGGTAGCCTGTGTTCAGCGAGATATAGTGTACTTGTGATCTGGGATCCTAGGAGGAGGACTTGGGGTGAATACTAATGTGGTGTGGAAGGTAGTATAGGGACCGTACTACTGGAAACACCGGATCAGTGAGCAGTCCAAGTAAGAATCCTTAGGATGCTAAGGAACGAGTAGGGTTGAGTTATCGAGTGCGAGTATACTCGAGCGAGTCTCTGATTTCTTTTGTGTTGTGTTTCAGAGACATTATGGTCGGCACGCGCCACACTCCAGGTGAACTTCTCGGTCTGATAAACTGCTTACTTAGTAGCTCGTGAAGATGAGAGGACAACTCGTGCATTTCAAGAGGTGCTAAGCGATACGACGCCTTAGCAATCGGAGCCGCACTTGGAACCAAATCAATCCTGAACTCAACATGCCTCTCAAGAGGTACACCGGGTAACTCCTCCAGAAACACATCTACAAACTCTCTAACTACAGGCACATCCGAGATCGAAACCCGCTCCCCAACTCGAGTATCAACTACATATGTAAGATAACCCATACACCCGTGATGTAAATACTGTTGAGCCCTGACAAACAAACAAAAGGCTGATCCAATCCTGGTACCATATCCATAGATGGTCAGTTCTCCCCTACATGGGGTTCGCACTACCACTCGCTGGCCCTCGCAGTCAATCATCGCACAAAACCTGATCAACCAGTCCATCCTTACTATCATGCATACGTCCGCCATAGTGATAGGGATCAGATCAATCGGCTAAGACACCCCAAATATCTCTAAGGTACAATCTCAGAAAACTCTCGACGCAGAAAACCCATGCTCGTTAGCGATGGAAACCTGCAACGGACACTCTAACTCTCCAAGAGTCACATCAAAACCCCCACCGAAAGATCGAGACACAAAAGAATGACTCGCACCCGAGTCAAAAAGCACAAGATCAGGTAAGGAATTCATTAAGATGGTACCTAAAATAATCATAAACATAAGCATACCACAAAAATAACTTAACAGAATCATAACAAAAACATACCAGTCACGACGTCCGACGCCGCCATGGCCTCATCTGCTGTGAGTTGGAAAGCACGTCCCCGAGCCCTTGGGGGCTCCGCTCTACCCTGGAGCCCATCCGTAATCCTCATAGTATCCAGGGAAGGAGCCTGAACATGCCTATCAGCAAGCAATGGAAACTAGGCTTTCATGTGGCCTGATCACAATGCTAACAAATCTTAGTGCTCGTCACTGGAACCTGCTGGAGACAATACCTCGCGAAATATCCCTTATTTCCACACTTGTGGCACACAGAAGAAAAAGTAGAAGATCGTCAAACACCATCATGACCCTTGTCACACTTGCTACAAGTGTAGCCCTTTTTTCCTCCTGATCGTGAACCGGAAGGCTTGAACTGCTTCGCTGCTGGCTGTGACTGAACTGGAGCCTGTCATTGCTCCCTTGTCTGTATATATAACTCAATCTCCCGTCTCCTCGCGACATCTTAAAGATCCAAAAGAGTACCATAGTGTTGGGTGGAAACAAACTGGAGAATACCAGTCTTGATCATGCTCAAGTATCGCGTCATCTGAGCCTGCTCGGAAGCAGCAAACTCGAGACAAAACAAAGCCCTCTCTGTCAACATCATGGTGATATCCGTCACCGACTTCGTCGTCTGCCTTAAATCCAGATACTCCTAAGCCAACCTCTCCCTCTCCACCAAGGGAACATATCGAGTGCGAAACATCTCCGAGAACTGCTCCGAAGTAACATCAGTCCTCTACTTAGGTGTATAGGAACCAGTCGCCAGGTTCCACCAGTCCTTTGCGCCCAAACGAAGAAGGTTCATGGCGCACCTGACCTTCCAGTCCTTTGGAAAGGATCAAGTGAAGAAGCAACCCTACACGTCAAAAATCCATCCCATAACCAAGATCGGGTCCTTGACCCCGTCAAACTCCGGGGGCTTCGTGTTGCTGAACTCTCGGTACTGAAATGATCCTCTCCACTGCATACCAGCAGCAATAACATCTGTGGTGGCTTGCAGTTGTAGCAGCCTCAGACATAGCAGTGTACCGCTCATCAAACAACTCAATCATCATGGCCTTGATAGACCCAAACAACTCCGGAATGGCACCTCAGATAGCAGTAGCCACCTCTGTTGCAATCAACTCTCGAATTTGATCCTCAGTCAACCACGACCTCTTCTGGCCATCATCTCCGGATCCAGGAGCCGATCCTCTCGTCACCACCATACTAAAAATAAACCAAAATAAATCAGAAAGGACAAAAATCATACTGCTATACTCAACATGAATAGACTTAAACCCTCGAGGTTTGTGACTTGCTTGCTACGCGTACGGGTCCTATGCTTTCAGTAGTACAGGCCCATACTACCTTCCATACCTACCCATATTTGTCTCAAGGATCATCAAAAACTACCCAAAACAAACCCATGTTTAGGATACGCGTACATCTTATCCTCACTCTCTCGAGAGTGGGTAATCCATCCTCTACTGGCCTGCTATACCCACAAACTCACTCATGAAACTTCCACCAACCCTGCAACTGCTCATGTATGATAATCATACATAACACTGGATCCCATAGACAATCGAATACATGACTCTACCCTAACCCCACAACCAAACAAGGAACAGGAAATAAGGCTAAATCAAACATTTTTAGGCTATAGAATCCTAGTTATGTACAAATATGATGCATACACTAAGCAGCTACAATAATGATGTCAATTTCATACACTAAGCAAGAAACTCAACTAGGCTACCAGGCATCAAACATCAGGCAATTCTATCATGTAACTCCTGAAGATCCCTAGCTTATCACTAGCATGTTGTTCTATCATAAATATCAACAACAAATAACAGTTTGGGTAACTTGGGGGTGCTTTCTTGCTCCAGCTGATCGTCTTCCTTGGTTACTTTTGAAAACAATTTGAAAATCATTTTTATTTTTTTTTAAAACTGATATTGCCATATTTATACATATATTTAGGCAATATTTTAATACATTTTAAGTAATATTTTGGTTAATTGCAAAGATATGTGATACTTATTGAGTTAATTTATATTTTGCAGCTAAATAGGACACTCTTGAAGAATAAGGACCTGAAGTGACAGACATTGGAACTTTGGAGTATTGAAGCTTAAAAGAAGAACATTTCAGCAAAATACCAACCTCACAACGTGAGACATCAATTATCACGACGTGAGGAGAGAGTTTCTAGAAGATTAGTACGCGAAATCCAGAATCCTTGCGCGATACAGATTAATACCAAGCTCACAACGTGAGACTCCTATCTCACTATGACAACCATGATTTTGTGAAAACTATATATATATATATATATATATATATATATATATTATATATATATATATATATATATATCCCTTTTCATTATCGATTGAAAAAGCTTTTGGAGGAAAGATATTCTGAGATACTCGAATTTGGAGGTCAGAAACCTACAAATGGTAAAACCTGACACTTTTACATTAGATGATAAAAAAAGTTTCTTACATCATTTCATAGAGTATAAAACTGTATTATATTTACTTTTTCACAATTACCTTATAATCCACATGTATAGTTCGTAGATGATGTTTTCACTCTCACATCTATCATTTCATATATTTTTACAACTGTTTGATTTCGTTTGTCTATAATATATTTCGATTCGTATATAATTTTCACTTTGTTGTTTCTATGGCTTTGGTTGTTTCACAGTTTGGTGAATGTAATGATAAAACTCTTTCGAGATGGATGAAAGATGTAATGACAATTACCTTATAATCCACATGTATAGGAACATGTGGGAGTCACTTGTTTGCATACTTCAACATTCTCTCAAGAACAAAAACAGGGTGTATGAGATATCAGGAAGAAGTGAATTTATGCCTTCATATTTGAGGCAAGCTTTCATTACAATACTCCAAACTTGGATATATACACTTTTGACTTTTGAGTTCAAACCTAGTAGTATTCAACTTCAATTTGGTATGAATTTCTAATGCCTAACTGTAGTATCAATTTAAACTTGAATGAGTTGTAAAGTTTTTCTTAATATATCTTTTAAGATTTTCATACCAATAATCTAGATGTTGAACTTTGTCTGTTTGACATCGAAGTAAAGTCAAACTAGTTTTGGGGAATATGTAACTAATGAGGCATATGATTTGTGTAGGATTACAACTGCACTGTGGATTTTGTGGGTTCTTCATTTCTAGTGAGTGAATCGTCGTTCAGGGGTAGAAATGGTTCTTTTGAAACTCCAAGATTGGATTTAATGGATAGAATAACTTCAATTTATCATGATGCTGATGTGTTGATCTTCCACACCGGACATTGGTGGACTCATGACAAAACTTCTCGAGGGTAAGAAAGATTCATTTCTTTACTTTTAGTAAAAACTTATATGTGTAAGTTTTTGCTTTTGACTTAAGTGGACTTAATGGGGACATGACTTAATATATACATATGTATTGTTAAGTGGAGGAGGCTCTCTTTGTTCATTAACACCTCACTTTTTACACCACTACCCTTTACACTTATTTCTTTTAGACATAAGGGTAAAATAGTCATTTTTTCATTTTCAGAAAAAAATCTTTGTTTATACATCATTTATTCAATCATTACTTTATCAATACAACATTTAATGAAGGAAAAAAAAACCCTAACATAACACTTTTGTGTACCTTATTTAATAGTGAAGATTATTACCAAGAAGGCAACCATGTTTACCCAAGACTCAAGGCTCTAGATGCATACACCAGGGCTCTTTCTACATGGGCAAGATGGGTAGATAAGAATATTGACACCCAGAAAACACTAGTTCTCTTTAGAGGCTATTCAATCACTCATTTTAGGTATGTAAATGTTAATGGTTCTTTTGATCAATTTCATCATAAGGGGTCTAGTCTTATTTTTATATATGTTTGTAAATTGTAGGGGAGGACAGTGGAATTCTGGAGGACAGTGTCACAAAGAAACGGAACCAATCTTCAATACAAGTCATCTGACAAAGTACCCATCAAAGATGCGATCTGTTGAGAATGTGGTGAGAATGATGAAGACTCCTGTGATATATCTCAATGTTAGCACGCTTACAGATTACAGAAAAGATGGCCACCCATCGATTTACAGACGGATGTACACCAAATCTCTATCTCCAGAGCAACAAATGGCTATAGAGCAATCACAAGATTGCAGCCCTTGGTGTTTGCCAGGTGTACCAGACACTTGGAATGAGTTGCTATATGCATCTTTGTTGAAGGTTGGAAGAGGGTCTTGGGAAACCTGAAATTTGGTGTAGATAGTATTGTAACAAGCTTCATTTTTTTTGTGTGTGTGTGTGTTTGAAAGATTTGAGAGAATTAGGAGTTTAGTTATTATGGTTAACTTGTTAGGAGTTGTATGTTATCAGTCGATATCTGAAAAGGTATGCGGTGTTTCAGTGATAGTTTGGATTCTATTTTATGTGTTTGTCGTACAAATATATCTTGTACGGTAATTTTGTAGTTTATCAAATTAGACACACAAATAATCAAACTTACAAATAATACTGAAAATCAGGTGGGATTAATAATAAATTCTCTTATTATTATTACAATTATTAATTATCTAGTTTCGTATGAAAACTAAGTTGATCATTCGTGATCAGATCTGATTATACGAAAAATGGAAGGATACATTCATGTTATCAAATGTCATAATAGAAAAATTAAAACCTACTTGACACTGTATAGAAAGGCTCATGTCGTTAATGGTTGTTAACATCATTCTTTGGCTGTAAGCATCATCATAAAACCCTAGGATTTGATTCAAATTATCCTTTGTCGCAACAACGTACTGGGTCCAAGACCCTAAATTTGGGTTTGCACCAGACTTAAGTACGCCCAACGTACTCCATGGTCCATCCGCGATCACCTAGTCCATTACGCCCAACGTACACCTATGTATGCCCAACGTACCGGACTAACCCAACATCCTCCTAACTTCAGAAGGCCATAACTTCTTTGTTCTAACTCCGATTTCGATGATCCTTATATCCATGGAAAGGTAATGAGAAGCTTTACAATCCTATCAACTCTCCTTTGCCTTAAAACTTTCTGAACTTAAATCCAAAATTCATTAAAGACCCAAACCATCACCTTTTTACAATTATACCCTTGGGCTCCAAAGCACAAACCAAAATCTTGGATCACATTATATATATTACCCACATCCAAATGGGTCTAAACGTCTCTATCACCAAAGCTCGAAGCCTTATGATACTCTTCGGGGGTACGACCCCAGATTATGAAACGACTCGAAACAAGGTGTTACGACTCTCCCCCACTTCAATTAGATTTCGTCCTCGAAATCAATCCTCGCTACCTACCAAGAAATCAGACGGTCCAACCAATTCTCTCAAACCCTGTTTTGGCGAAAAGTTGACTCGTACTCATTGCGACCTTACAAAGCTACCATTAAAACCCAACCTTAACGGGGGTTATACGCCCTAATGGAGAACATTTATATTGATCCACTAATGGAAAAACCAGCACTTTAATGTTAATTCTGAAACCCCCAAAACTTTACCTGACCTCCACACGGGCATAAACATTCTGAAACACAATCACTCGAACCTCTCTCTGCAAACTAAAATGAAAGACATCATTTGGATCCAAATTTATAACTGATACCCTTGGCAAGCAGGATCCTTGGTCATATCTTGCTGATGAAAAGATCTTTTATATATATACAAAGATGACTCCCAATGCGAGTCTCATCTATTTTCCAACCCGATACATAACTCATATCCCAAAATCCAAGGATTACACTTGCATTCTATCTGAAATCTTCCGATTCCACGATGACCTTCCACTAAAATGAGATATCAAATATTCAATTGACCGCTGAGACTGACAGTCTGACACCCGGACCCTCCACCAGGCTCCTACCAAGAGTCTAACTGATAAGGGCTACCCTAGCATACACATCACGCCAATACCAATCGCTGGCCACAAAGCATTCCACTCTGACATGATCCAATACCTTGCTCCATCCAATTTCGATCGGGTCTCATCCACTCCATCACAACCAAACGGGCATCGCCCACGGGTATCGCCCAATCAAGTGTTGTACAGGCCCACCATTGCCTTGGATCTAACGATCCTATACTAAACAAGGAGTAGTCCTCCCTCAATATTGTGTGCCTCAACTCATGCATATGTTGATCCTCTTTTAGCCCAACAACCACTTCTACAATGGCCTACCTCATTTTGGTGAATTCTACGACTACATCACAGACTTACAACACTTCCCCGACAGCTTATCGTCCTTGTGTATGCTACGACTACCTCGCAGTATTACAACACTCCCCTATTAGCCATGAGTCCGACTCATGGTCTTGTTCTCCATCTACCATGCTAACCCATGATCAAACACTGGTTAAAACACTGGTTAAACCCATGGTCTTCAAATCCTCGTATGTAGCATATTGTGGAACCAAAAGAGCCCTCTCCCAAAACTTGGTTGTGATCTCCACCACAGTCTCACTCGTCTGGCGAAGGTCCTGAAACTCCCTCGCCAACTCCTACACCATAATGGTTGGGGGAAAACTCCGCCCTAATCTGGGTAACAAACTCTTCCCAAGTCATCATCTCAATGGCTTCGCCTCCTAAAGCGAAATCTACCTCCTCCCACCGATATTGAGATCTGTCTATCAGAAGACAGGAAGCAAATCTGAAATTCTACCCCTCGGGGAAGAAACTCGTCCAGAAAGCGTTCACCATATCCGCTAAGCACCTTCTATTAGCAATGGGGTCCTTCTCCCCAAAGAACTCGGGAGATCCATAAGCTTGGTACTCACGGAAGGAAAGAGTGCGAGCTCCTACAATAACCATAATCTCAGTGCAAAGCATGCCTAGACACTCATCCAAAATCTCCATGGTCCCCTCTTTGACCGAACCGAAGATCACAAGTGTCTACCGCGAGTGATATTCGACGACATGAACTCCCGCATCCGCTTATCAATCAGATCAGTGCAAGCACTTGAGCTCGAACCAGATCCTATGCCACGAGTGCTCATCACCATACTGAAAGGAAACCACACAATAATCAAAACATACCCAAAATTCCTCATCCACAGGTTTCCTAGATTCTCCGTTACTCCCCTTGATTCGAGTATGGATCCTGTGCTTTCAGTAGTACGTGCCCAATACTACCTTCCACACATATCCATTCCTTCCTCAAGAGTTATCCCAAATCCTCTAAGTCACCTTCTCAAATCGGTACTCCAAGTACTCGCTAAACAGCGCAATCAAACCCACTAAAACACTTCGTAGGCTCTCCTAGGTTCCGACCTCACCCTGTCGTCAGCTGCTGAAGAACTCCTACTAATGTCAGTTAACTACTTCATGAATACAGTCACATGCAACAAATCTTAGATAATCATTCGAGTAAAACACTCAACCCTACAACGGTTGGACTCAGACAAGAGCTACACAATAGGGTCAAATCCATTACTCTGAGATTATTTAATCCCTGCAGGATGCAACTTTACGTATTCACTTAATAGTTAACTTACGTCACTAGGGGTCCCACAAAGCAAAAAGCAAGCAACATTCATGCAGTAACACTATAAGTCACAAGACAAACAAAGGACCTCCCGAGCTCACTTACTACAACTCATGTTAGGAACTTCCACTATCACTGTCGGTTGCCTTATGCATGCAAATTATACACAATACATGATCAAATAGACTATCGAATGAAATATTGTACCGTAGGACCACAACCAGACAAGGAACAGGAAATAAGGACAAATAAGTCATTCTAGGGCTATATGATCCTTACAGTATACAATTTTTAAAGCATACACTAAGCAATTACTGCTACCAATACATATTCCCAATCTAGCATAGCATCCAATGCTTCCTAGGCATTAAGGCATAGTATATTAGGCCAATCTATCATGCAATTCCTGAAAGTATCCCTAGGCTTATCCTAGCATGCAACATTTATATCATATAACATAACAATCATGGATGGGTATTCTAGGAATCACTTTCTTGAGCTCGGATGATTGCACAAACCACACCCCATTTTTCTTCATAGAAGTCTTTTAAGAAATTTATTTTCTTTTAAAAGATTACTATCTCCTCAGTTTGAGTTCAGTCACACCTTAAAATGTGCCTGAATCCCTCAAACCAAGGCTCTGATACCAACTTGTAACGTCCCAAAAATTCTAGGGTAAAAGTTTCATTTTTAAATTCAACCATATACACCATTTATCCTTTTCAATCATTCAAATGTATATCAGAGTAAAAATAGTATCAAAGTACAAGCCCAAAATCATAAAGTTGCGGAAACATGGGTGGATGTGTTCCGATCAAGCCGTGACCTTCCCTTTCTAACCGGATGTACCTAAAACCATAACCATAAAACTATAAGCACAAAGCTTAGTGAGTTCCCCAAGATACCACATACCATACATATCATTGGGCCTAGCTCACGCATTGCGCCCATCCCACCATAATGGGCCTAGCCCGTCACACAATGGGCCTAGCCTAAGATACAATGCAAGAGTCACAAAGACAACTAGCATCCTACATATCATACATTGAGCCCAACTTTTCTTGATCCATAGGCCCCACCCAACATAAAAATGGGCCTAGCCCACCATACAATGGGCCTAGTCCAACATACCATGCTAGAGTCACAAAGACAACTAACATAACATATCCTAGTGGGCCGACATTGGTGCCTTCGACCCACGGGTACAGTGAGGAGATTCACCTTAATCCGAGATAACCGAAACACACGCACTGCTGCTACCGGAATCCTCACATTGGACACAACCAAATCTACATAATCAATAATTAAGGTAATTTTCCAAAATCCAAGGTCCAATCCATATCCTATCCTTCCAATGGGTAAAAGACCATTTTACCCTCCCAATATCTATTCCAATAACCCATGTCCCAAACTCAAAAAATATCCAAGGCCTAAAAGGCCCAAAAGAGCCTTTCAGGAGTACGCCCCACGTACCAGAAGTGTACGCCCCACGTACTGACTGCCACTACACAATATACAACTCGCCAAAGCTCAAAAAGCATGGAATCCTTGCATTACGCTGATCGTACACATACATACGCCCAACATACTCACCAGAGGACCAAAACTCTTATTAAGCCCTTAATACTTAATATCTAAGCATCCAAACTCAGATCTAACCTCTAAATAGGATATTAATCCATAAAGTTGCTAACTTTACTCCTTTGCATGTCTTAATGGGACCCAAAACCCATTTTTATC